AAAATTAGAAACATCAGCTTTGATTGATTCTGTCATTAGTTTTCTTTCAGCAGGTCTCTTTAGAGAAAATCCCAACTCCACAGCAAAAGTTCTCATCAAACTTTTTGTGATTATGGTCTTTGCAAGCTCCTTCCATTTCTGGTTTTTGAATAACAACTTTACCTGTTTCCAAATCAACAAAGTTGGTATTAATGAAAAAAGAGAACATGAATTCATCGTTCAACATGTCCTTATCAAAGAATGAAAATTTCAAATCTCCCTTCAAGTCAATCTCTAAATTATTGAAAACAATTGCTGGTTGATTGATATAGTGTTGAATTTTCAATTCTTCCTTCGAGTTATAAACCAAATTATATTTGCAATCTTTGGTTCCGTCATCTGCAACCTCAAATGTTTGATTTTGAATATAAAAGAATGGATCACAACCATTGTCTCTATCGAATCTTGGAGTTGTGTGAATGACAATGGATTTCAATGTAATAACACCATCCTTAACTGGGAATACATTGATTTGCCCACGAAAACCTTTCAAACACATTTCATAATAGTGTACATATAACTTTTGAGAGGGTAATGTAACTCCCTTAGCGTTGGCTGTTCTCAATGCTCCAAAAACACTCAGAGCATCACTTGCTGTTTTACAAATACCACAATGAAGTAAATAACACGAAATAATTAACCCTGTTCTTCCTTTCCCAGCTTTACAATGGATAGCAGCAACTCTCTTAGGATCACCACTTAACCACTCATCCAAAGATTGACAAATTTTGATTAGAATCTCAAAAGGAGGAGGTTGATGATCCCAGAAGGGCCAATGTTCAACAGCTCCACCAAACACAGCTGGATCATATTGTTTCTCAGCACATAAATTGAACACCCTATAGGATTTTGGGTGATTGGTTGAGAAGAATCGAACCACTTCATCAAGTGGATTTCTATATAACTTCTCAGCCCCTATTGATGGATATCCCATAGCTATAATACGATCCGATATGTAGGTTAAATCCAAATTAAATCCATTCTCTGTATATCTAACCTTCTTTTTAGAAACTACAGTTCTTAGAAATTCCATATTTCCTTAATGAAGATATCGAATTAGCCTTCGTTGTTGTATATTTAACAATTTATATATTAAATATTAACAGCTCTGATGATGACAATTTTAAACAATAATAATAATATACAATTTAATCTTCTCCCTAAACTTCTTAAAAACACTCAGTGAATGAAGAGAGAGATATTAAGGAATGACTTGATAAGGTTGCCTTATGATGAACAGGTGCAACTTGTTTTTTTTTGTCCGTTTTTTGAATTGTCGTTATAAAATCGAACTTTGATTGCTATCTTGGCTACCAGTTTTTTACGGATGGTTTATTGCCACTACATGGAGGAGCATTCTTATGGAAGAATTGCTGCTTAATTGGTTTATTAGGTCAGATCACAAGGGGAGTAATAAATAATGATGTGTATTGTTTGTATGGGGTGATGTGAATTCACAATTGTGTAGAGAGTATAATAATAAAATGATACAATAAAAGGAGAGATAACTAAGGTTGTGCCTTCTCTTATTTGACAGTTGTTTTGAGAGCACAATAGTTCACCACTTGCAACTTTTCAGGTGTGAAATGAGAATCTTCAGCATAATAGACAAAATTAAGCATACCAGCAGTGTTGGAAGATGGCAAACAGATAATTGACCAAACTTGCATCAACTTGTTCTCAGCATTGGTGAACTTCCAATTGTAGTGGAATACTTCTTGGAATGTATCAGAGTCCTTGAATGAAGAAGTGATATTGGCACCATTTTGAATAACC